GTTCCTTCTCTCTCTCTCTCTCTCTCTCTCTCTCTTTCTCAGTCTGTCTCTCGGTCATTTTTCATAAGTGCAAACCTTTGCTGAACCAAAGGTCACCATCCAAGCCACTAACAACTCGCCAGCACGCAGTTCCACATCAAGAAGCAAAGGGAACTATTTGTCAGCGGCCCTGACAGCTAAATTCATTAAGGATTTAAATCTGAAGAAATAAAAGTCGCCAAAATATTTACCTGCCGGCTGCGCTCCCGCGCCCTCCACTGGGCCCGGGTGGAGGCCGGGGCGCCGCGCGGGGGGCCCCTGGGCGGGTGATATTCTTGGGATCCCTGCACTTTCCAAGTCGGAGAGAGCCCTTTGCGTGGCAGATTAATGACGACTCCGTGTTTCTTAAGGGACGCGCTGAATTAATTATTTCGCCAATCACGTGGTCGGGACTTGTAGAAATCTATTCTTATCATCTTCCTCGCACTTTGAAAATTCTCCGGGTTATGAAAGGCCCTCCCCCAGCTGCCAGCGAGCCGGGGCCGCCAGCCCGGCGTGGGGGGCAGGGAGAGGCCGAGTGACTGTACTGTACTCCAGCGGGCTCGGCTGTGGATTCGCTTCCTCCTCGTCCCAGCCCGCGACTCAACACACAGCCCTATTGATGTATTGGTGGGCACAGGAGGAGCCATTAGCCAGAAGACAGGCAAAGGACCATCATAGAATGTGCCTGAATATTTAAACTTCTGTCTGCGCACTTATAAATACACATGTCCACGCGTCTGGGGCGAGCGCTTCCATATATTAAGGACACATGTCTGATTTTACGCATTCTGCTCATTTCCTGTCTCAAGCAAGTCCCCCCACCCCCATCTACTTTGCAACTGCTGTCTTCGCCCCTTTTCTAGGAGAGGCAAAAACATAAAAAAACCCTCCTGATAAAAATAGCGCAGGCCACTTGGATAGTGGGGAGTGTTTATTGCCGTCTGGAAGGCGGAGGGGGGGCTGGAGGTAAGGCGGGGCAAGTGCTAGAGGCCCCACCAGGGTTGAGTCCCACCAGAAAAGCAGAAGGAGCCCAAGACTGGGGGCCCGCGGGGTCAGTCCCAGCTTGGCCCAGAACCCAACACCATACACCCTCTCTTAGAGTTGGGGGGTGGGGGTGGGGTGGGGAGATCTCTCACCCACCGTGTCACAAACAGAGGATGAAGACGTCTGGGGCTGATTGGAGCCACGAAGAAAGCCAATCTGGAGCATCTTTTTAGGCCAGTAACTTATTTTCCTTTCAAAAATGATGTCCACCACCCAGCAACCTGAATTCAACCCCAGACTTCCCAATGCTCACAAAATATGGTGGCCAAATTGGCAGTATGTACGTATGGGGGAGGGTGAAATGATAGAATTGCTAAGTCTTACACAGTTTAACCTTCATATGCCAAGCACATTTCAGAAAATAAAAAAAATAGTTTATATTGAATGTTAGCTGTCAGAAGACTTAATGAAGAAGGCTTCTGTGGAGGCACCGAACAGGAGGGAGATTTCGCTATACCTTTTATTTCAAATATAGATCAATGAATTACATCAAAACTACAGGCAACAATTAGTATAAATAATACTTTAATCAATGGCAGCAGAACATTGGTCAATTCTATTTAAAAAGCATCTTGTGTGAACAAACACCATGGGCTGACTGACCATGTCATCTCCCAACAAAAGGCTGCAATGGACAAAGAGAGATGGGAGTTCGAGGAGCAATGTCCTCAGCAAATACTTCATCCCCCCACCCCCCAGTCACAACCCCAACACAGCTTTAAAGAACACCACCACCAAAACAAACACTTCTGGCTCATATTTGGGGGAACAGAGTGGAAACAAATAAAAGCAAATGGGCACTGAGCCTGTCTACATCTAGCTTTCTCTAGAGCACGTTCCCAGATGGAAACTCATTTCCTTCCCTGCCCTAGGTGGTTGGGGTGGGGGGGTGGGGGTCCTGCTTCTTCCCTGCCCCACTCCTGTGGGCCCAAATGGGTGCTGAGGTCCAGTTAGGACCTCAGGGTCGTGGGCTGCCCTCTGGGCCATCCAAGCTAAATTAACATTTCAAAAGGCAATTCCTGGAAGCTGAGAAGGAGAGCTGAGGACTTATAAACAAAGAAGTTGTTTCTCTGATTAAGTTACTTTCCTAAGTAATGGGGCTATGTTTGAGAATGAGCTTGGATTTTCTTCATCAAAACTTTCCTCTTGGCTTTATATTGGGACAGGGGTGAAGGTGTTTAAGTAGTTTTGGCATTTGGCCTAAAGCTGGGTTAAGTAACCTGAACTTTTAGGAAAGGGGGAATCTATAAATAATCTCTACAGTATATAGGGGTAGGCAAAAGTAGGTTTACAGGTGTAAGTGTGAGGAATAGAATTTATTCTTGTATTATTATTAATTATTGTATCACTTATTTGTATTACACTGTAAACCTACTTTTGCCCACCCCTTGTATAGTAGTAGTTGGTTGTTGTGAAAACATACTTTTACCCCCTCCCAAGGAGACGTGAAATGTATTCACAGATCTGGGTTTTAAGAAAGAATCTTAGCAACTTTCCAACTTGTCCAAGGATAACTGCTCTTTTCAACTGTTACATCCAAAGACCACTCTCCATGTCAGAGGGGGGGAAAAAAAAGAAGAGAAGGGTAGTTAGAGTCCAAAAGGTTAAGGGTTTAGAGGTCAGTCCTCCCGGCTGAAATACAGCTAATCGAACAGAAAATTTGTCCTCTGGATGAACCTGATTCTGTAATTTAGCCCCGAACTTCAGTAAAATACCTTTTCAGCTTCTCAACGTGAGGGTGTCAGAAAAAAGACATCTTGACTATGTATGAACTCTGTGCTTTTTGTCATAGAAACAATGATGTGAATAATGCAGGAATATCCATCTTTAATATCCCGACGTGCCGATATTCAAGTATTGCCATGTGCAAGTCTGAGAGCCAGGCTCACCCCAAAGAGGAACAAAGAGCTGTCCCCAGGGTCTAATACAAAAGACCAAGGCTTGGAAGATACTTTAGAGAAGTGGAATTTCAGCCTAGGGACTCCAGTGAATACCTGCCCTCAACTCTCAGGAGACACTGAACCAAAGAACATGGCTGCAGAGAAAATCTTTTCTTTCCCCTACACCTCAATGTATTTTTAATTACCACTGAAACCTACTAAAGTGTTCAGGAGCACTGAAAAAAAAAAATAACCCCAATTCTGAGTCTCTCTTTTAAGCTCACCCTTTATCCCTCCCTGCTTTTGTCACTTTTTGGTAGCTATAACCTGGGGTTTCTTTTTGGAGCCCCAGGCTTTGGGGTTTAAACCTTCGAAGCCCCGTTTCCTTTGAGTATATAAACCCTGGTCATTACCTTGGACTCTATCCCCTTAACCCTACGGGTCAACATTTTAGAAAAATGAGCTCTGGCCCCTTCCCAGGCAAGGCATAAGAAAAATGATTAAAAAATATCTCTTCTGTTGTTTGAGAGCGATTGTTTTAAACCACTCTTCTCAAGGCAAGAAAGAGGGCCTGAAAACTTTTGTACTTTTACAATTTCTGCTTCTAACTAATGGATTGAGAAAAACTCCCTTAAGGTTTGCTTTAAAAATAAAAACTTCAGGGAAAAACCCTAAGACCAACTTTCGTGGACTTCTAGATTCAATTAGTTTTTTGTTTTTTTCCTTTTTAAAGTAAGACTTCCTCTACTTCCCACTTTCTTCCCACTGCACACCCCCTTCTCCCAAATAGGCCATACACCAGTTCTTATAAAATATTGCTAGATGGGCTATTTGGGCATTTGGAATCCAGTTGGAACAGAAAATTTGGTCATTATCAAATGACCCAGAACAGAGGTTTTGTTTTCTTTCCCCAGAAGGAAAATGTTGGACCATTTGTTTCTTTCTTTTCCCCCTTTCCTTTAACAACCTTTAATACTGGTTGTAGCACAGTGCTGAAAAAAGCACATGTGGAAATATATTTTCAAGAATGCAACTCAGATTGGACTCTTTGCTTCCCTCTAGAAGGGTTAAGGGCCCCTACACACATTTCCGGGGAATGGGGAGGGGGTGGGGTTCAAAATGCCAGTTACAGCCTGAAGTAAGTCCACACATCTCTGATTCTGTTCCCTGAAATTTGGACCCTTTCACCATCTTAAGGTTTTTTGGCATTAAGATGTCAGTTATTTCTGTACCCCATTCCCCACCAAATAAATATTTAAGCAAATATAATCTAAACCTAAAACAACCCGTTTCCACTTCCTTCTTAGACTCATTTCTTTGGGCATGGGCCAGTGGGAACAATATATATAATTTCACACTGGAAATTATACAGACAACCCAGAAAGTTCAGAAATCCTGGCACAGCTCTCCTGCTTCCATTGAAAGCACCTCGCACAGGGGTGTCTAACCTGCGGCCTGACTCCCCCACATTATTAAACCACAGCATCCCTGGAGGGGTGGGGTGGGGGAGGATGTTCAAATTCACACTGGGGTAAAGCATTCAACCTTCACTTGTAAATTCAAAATCCAACAGCGGAGATTTTCATGAGTTTAATGACTCGCCAAGGTTTTATGTTCTCAGTAGCTCCTGCCATATGATCATATACTTAGAGAGAGAGTCCCATCCCTCTCCCACCCCCAGACCCGCTCCAGGCAGGGGGCTGCCCTCGGGCAGGATGCTAACCTAGTCCAAGGACGGCCTGCACGTCCCAGGTCCACCCTACAGTACCTTAGAGCCCAGCGAGGTGACAGCAGGCCGGGCCTGCCCCTACGGCTTCGGCTCAGCCGGGAGCGCAGGGAGGGATGGGCCCAGGGTCCCCACTTCTATAAGGTCGTCAGGTCCGTGTGGTGGTCCTTGGCCAAAGGCTGCAAATGCTGGCCTGGGGCGGCCGAGGAGGAGCAGGAGGACGAGGAGGACGAGGACCTGCCTTTGGTGTTGGGCAGCTTGTGGTCTTTTTTCCACTTCATCCTCCGGTTCTGGAACCAGATCTTGATCTGGCGCTCAGACAGACACAAGGTGTGAGCGATTTCAATCCGACGGCGCCGCGTCAGATACCTGTTAAAATGAAATTCCTTTTCCAGTTCTAGGACTTGCTGCCGGGTGTACGCTGTCCGGGACCGCTTGGGCTCCCCGCCGGTGTAGTTGGGGTTCACTGAGAGACAAAACAGACCGCACGGTCAGGTCAGCGCCTGGCCGGCCACTAGTTAGGCCCCTGGCCAACGCGCTCACTTCCTGGCGCGCCCCAGGCCCTCCCAGCGCTCCCAGCCGCTCTCCCTCCCTCCCGCCCTCTCCCCCAGCACACACGCTCGCTCCTACCACCTCATCACACCAACCCACTCCCCCACGCTGGCAGGCGGGGATCCCCAACTGTGCTCCCATCTCCCCGGCCCACCGAAAGCTCCGGAATTTCCAAGCATTTTGGAAAGCCCCCATTGCTCTCCACCGTGGAGCCTCTGTTCTGAAAATGGAATCCTCCTCCCACCTCCATCTCCACCCCCCTTTTTGCCCACAGACATGCAGCCAGCCACATGGTCCCGGCCTGCTCCCCCAGCTATAAAAATTTATGGAGAGAGTAACTGAGGTGCCCACTGAAGCTCCACGCGCCCACACCCATCCGCACCC